TCACAGTGCTAACAGGTATTGGGCAGAACAGGGCATCAAATTCAAAGTCTGTCTGACTACCACCTTCCCTCCTAACCACTGCACACATTGGCCTCCTCTCAGTGTCTTCTCAGACCCAGGATTCTAAAATTACATGGAATCAGAGCTAGATCAAGAGAGGGCAGGGAGGAGAATACACACTCTTTCCGGACAGAACACTTTTAGGAAGCCTGCAACTAGGGCCATTAAGTTGAGGGTTTCATATACATTGTCCCTGCAGAATAGCCCACCTCTACCCATGACACCCCCTCCTCACCTCACATGTCACACTTACTCAGGTTAGAGTTTCTCTCTGCTGAATGATGAAAAGGATTCAGCAAACTGCAGTGTAGATTTCCTCTGGCCTTAGTGATGTGGGCAACCCCTAGAATCACCACACTCTCTGGGATCCTGCTTTTTTTTCAGTAAAAGGAGGCAGTTAGAGAGGTCAGTCTCTAAATTGCCTTCAAGCTCTAAAGACCTGCCTTGGGGACACTCATTTCTTATCCAGGGAAAAAGAAGGTTTGTCAGGCAGCCTCAGTGTGTATCAGAGCAGCAAATGCATGAAGGTGCGCCAGTCAGCACAAATGTGTCCTGTTAAATATGAGACATGTAACATTGTGCTAATTGACTCCCTCACTCCCTCCGCCCCCCTCCTACAGCATGCCCCCTGACAACATGCCCCTCTGCCTCTGCTGTACTTCTGGCTGGTCCTTCCGTCCTTCCTGGGCCCAGAACCCACACCATGTACACTCCATGGACCTATTTCCCCAACAACTCTCATCCTTCAGCTTGCTTCTCAGCCAGACTCACCTTCTTTTCAACCAGTTGATGAGTTCTCAAATTTTCTCCAAAGACACTCTTCCAGCTTGTGCTTTTGTTTTAACTGAAGAAAAAGTGTTCACACCCTCTTAAACCACTGAGCAAGGAAGCTCAGATTGGGTGGAGCCAGTGTAGGAACTGTTTGCCTTTAAAGAGACAGTAATATTTCCCCTAAATTGGTGGCTGCTTCAATTTTGCCAACTTGAAACCATTTCCTTCCTGTGCTTGCTCTTGTACCAAAATTACCAAAGCTAATGTATATTTGGTGTTTGGGGTTATGGTAGTGGATCCAAAGGCCCTTAATAAATGACATAAATCTTGCCCCAAAAGGCCAGGCACAGTGTCTATCACCTTCCCTGGTGCAGTGAGAGTCTGCGGGGTCATTCTGGAAAAAGAAAGTTGGACATGGGACTGGGTATACTGTCGGATCTTGCTAGTTATGGTGCAATATGGGTTTTGAGTCTACTCTTTTAGGAGCGTCTCAAGTTACTTATTCAGAAATTAACAAAACTCAGGTACAAAGCGAAAGGAGTATAAACCATTGAGAGCCAAGAGGAAATGAGGAAGGATAGGCCTGGGAAAAGTCTCCCAATGATCACAATCTCTCTGTTTTTGCTTGTTTGTTTGTTTGCTTTTTCATATGGTTCTTGCAGGGTTAAAAGTCTGCATTGCATGACATATAAAGATGCACCCAGGGAGTAAATGCAACCTTCCCTCTCAGCCTTCCTATCTTCTCCCTCTCCAGGCCCAGACAGAGGCAGCTTATC